GAGCGCGGAGCGCGGCTGGCGTGCGATGCCAGGGGCTGTGTGCACGCTGCGGGAGGAGGAGAGCCATGCCTTCACCTGCCGGGCCCCCCGGCTGGCCCCTGGCGCCGCGCTGGCGTGGTACCTCGATGGCCGGAAGCAGGAGGCAAATTGCTCGGCTGCAGGTGCTGCCAGCACCCTCACCCTCACCGCCCGGCGCACTGACCGCGAGCTCAACTGCTCCCTGATGGACCCGGCCTCTGGGGAGACCTACAATGCTTCTGTCCTCCTTGACGTGCAGTGTAAGGTCTGCGGCGCCAGCCCTGCTTGGGCCAGAGGTGCAGGGAGGGCGCGTGGGGCTGCTGCCTGGCCAGAGCAGGTCCATGACCTGCATCCATCGTAGCTGTAGCGGGGCAGCGTCTCATCAGTCCTGCGCAAATGCGGCTGACGAGTGCTCCTGGCCCCTGGCGAGACAAATCCTGCTCCTGGCTGTGCTGCCCCTGTCCCCGGCTGCCCCCCGTCCCTCCTGCTCGTCTCACTGCCTGTGTTTGTTGCCTAGATAAGCCGGAGATCCTGCGGGCAGGTGCCCGCTACCAGGAGGTCGAGGGCGCTGGGCTCCTCCTGGTGCTTTTTGTGCTGGTGCAAGCCAACCCGCCTGCCAGCATCACCTGGGTGGACCAGGATGGGCACGTGGTGGCCAACGCCTCCGAGTTCCTCCTCCTGGGTGCCACGCGTTATCCGGGGCTGGCCAACCACTCGCTCCACGTCCACCTCGGCAGCGCAGCCGGCAACTTCTCCGTCAGCGCTGCCAACAGCGTGGGTGTCACCACCGCCTCCCTCCTGCCCCCGGGTAGGTGCCGGGGGGGCAGGCACAAAGCAGCGGCCCTGTGGAGGGGTGCTGAGGGGGCTGCACTGCCCGTGCAGGTCTGCTGGATGCCCGCGTGGAGCTGCCCCTCCTGGGGATTGCCGTCGGAGCCGCCCTGGCCCTGGGCGCCCTGCTGAGCCTGGGCTCCTGCGCCGCCTGCCTGGCGTGCCGCCGGGCCAAGCCGGTGCCAGGTAAGGGGCGAGCGGGAGGGAGCAGCCCCCTCAGCCAGTGCTCCCGTTGCAGCGGCTCTGAGCACCCGCAGCCCCGGGGTGGGCATCTGCCTCGCCAGACCCAGTCCCTGCCGCCCGACCTGCACCTCGGCAACCTCACGCAGGAGGCTGGAGGTAAGACCCTGAGGTGCCAGTGCAGAGGGACACGCGGGGCCACGGGTCCTGCCTAGGTGAGGGTTAGATATCCTGGCTCTCACCCCTTTCCTTCTCCACAGCTTCCCCCAGGGATGTGGGAGCCGGTGCCGGGGGAGAGGAGAGCACCCTGCCGGGGCTGGACAACTCCCTGGTCCTCAGCAAGCTCGGTGAGGGGGCGCAGGGGGGCAAGCGGCCCCCCGAAAACCATGCTGTGGGGATGCCAGCCTCCACGACTGCCCCAAAAGGCGACGGCAATGAGCTGTCTTTGTCCTGCAGGTTTTGTCCAGCTTCCGATGTCCGGGCGCATCTACAAAGTGCCCAGCGTGAGCAGCGACGAGATCTGGCTGTGAGACACGGGGGGGGCCGGCGGGCCGTGAGGGGGCGCAGGGGGGCAAGCGGCCCCCCGAAAACCATGCTGTGGGGATGCCAGCCTCCACGACTGCCCCAAAAGGCGACGGCAATGAGCTGTCTTTGTCCTGCAGGTTTTGTCCAGCTTCCGATGTCCGGGCGCATCTACAAAGTGCCCAGCGTGAGCAGCGACGAGATCTGGCTGTGAGACCCGGCGTGGTGCCCGTGAGCCAGGGCTGCCCGGCACCAGGTACGTACCAGCCTCTGGAGAAGCGCAGCCGAGGGTGCTGGGGAGGCCGTGCTGGGTGGCGGGCGCCGACCAGCCCCCGGCTATACGTTAAGCTACGCACTGCAGGTCTCGGTAGCTGCGCCGTTAGCCAAGGCATGTTTTTATGTAGCCCGTGCACTTTACGCAATAGGCTATTATAATCAAAACGCATCGAAGCTGTTTATAGCCAGACTCTGCCAAGCTGCTAGGGCTGCGATTCCTCCCGGGGTAAGGCCAAGCACCAGCCTTGCTTTAGCAGGTTCGTGGCCTGCTTGCTCCGTCATCCTCTCCGCCCCTGCCAGAGCTGTGGCAGACGGGTGGGCAGGCGGCAGGGCAGGGGCCGGAGAGAGTCGTCCCAACAGCAATAAACTAAACTCGAGCGTCTGTGTGGTGCCGCGCTGGTTATTTCTCCTTGGCAGTAGCTAAGGGGCTTGAGAATAGAAAAAGGGGCTCAATGATACGGGGCAGAGGAGATTCAAGATCCCCAGATCGGACCTCGGAACACACTGGGCAGATCCGAGTGTTGTGTTTGAGCACAGAATTTATTCCCGCTTGCTACAGCACTTGTAGCGTGTGCTCGAGGAGCCTCTGCTCTGCAGCGTCTGTGGCACAGGGAGCCTGTCGTTGGAAAGAGCTGGTGTAATGCTGAACTGCTTGGGGACAGGTCAGAACCCGAGCGATTAGGCAGCCTCCGCAATAAATGCGATGAGTGAAGTCCTACTCCACGAATGCAGAACAGCTCAGCAGTATCTACAGAACCAGGGAGGCTTTTGAAGTGCTGTGCGTTGCTTCACAGGCTGCCTGAGTCAAATCTCGCTGGCCAGCGGCAGACATTGACGGAGGAGGAGGGTTGACATTGACATTGAGGAGATGAGGGTTTAACGTCAAGCTTCAAGTAAAGCTTAACACTTCCGCGTCTGCTCCTTGTGAAGGTGGGTTGGATGGCGGGCTCCTGCCCTTCTTCCCGTCAGCCAGGGGCTTGAAATGCTGCAGGGGAAAGAACGCGTTAGTGCAAAGATTCGCCTGTCGTTAATTAAAATACATGCGTGCATCCAAAAACGCAAGCCACTTCTGCTCCGTATGAGCTGTGTTCTCAGCAGTCGCCCTGACTTCGGTGGGAAAAGTGTGCTGGGCTTACGCTGGGCTGTTAAACAACGCGGCATCCCAGCCTTGCGGCATGCCAGAGGCTCCTTGTGTATCTTTGAGGTACTAGGGAAACGAGAAGCTTAGAAAATGTTCTTTGGACCCCTTTACCGTGGCCTACCAACCCTTTACAAACACCCACGGCACAGCAAAGCCAAGCGTAAGGAGAGAAGCTTTGCAACGCTTCCAGCTGGGTGAGCGGTGCCTGCCCGGAGTTGCTTACCTGCGAGTTCTTGAACTCCGAGTAGAGGGAGAAGAGGACGTGCAGAGGCTGGATCCGACTCTTGTACACGGGGATGTCCAGAATGGCTACGAACAAGAGCAGAAATGCGTGAGAGGGTCTGGGCTGCACCGCCCTGCACGGGGTGCTGTAAAGGCTGAGCTTCCCCCTGCCCCCGACTACTCGGGCCTTCGCTCATCCAAGACTGGAGGCGCCTGCGGTACAAGAGTCTGCTCCCTGCTGAAGGCAGCAGAGAATGATCTTGACTACTCGGGGCTGAGCCTGCACCTAGAGGTCTCTTGCTTTAAGTGAGACAGCGCCAGGCCAGCAGCACGCTTGTGCCTTCGGCACAGTCTCCCCCGCTTACCACATATCATGTCGATGTATTCGGCCAGGTCACAGTTCATCTCTGCGGTCGGGAGGCCCACCTGGAACAGACGGGGTTGTCAGCTCTGCTCCCATACGGCAAGAGCCCGAGAGCACGCGCTGATCTCAGGCCGAGCACAGAGGCCACCCGGGCAGCAGCCAGGAATTCAGGCATTAGGCTGCTCCCCCGTCTTCTGGCAAGGGAGAAACGGGAAGCAGGAACAAACCTGAACGGGCCGGGCTGTGGGCAAAGAGCTCAAAATGGAGCAGGAAGCCACCTTCCATGGAAGATGCTTTCTAACACCGCGCACTGAGCTAACTACTTATTGCTCGGACGACACACCTTTCCCAAGAGCTCCTCAAATTCCGGTGACCATTCCTGCATGAGGGTCTCGATGTCGGGCATTGGCCTGCCAGGGAAGAAAAGAACGTGAACTTCAGGATCACACGCAACTGAAATGGCTTCCTACTGCCAGACCGCTGTAAACGGGCCAGCATCCGTTCTAACCAGCTGAGAGAGATCTGCGCGGCTGCTGAGGGTCAATGTGGGCATTTTTATTTATCAAAACAAGCCTAAGCTTGCTAAGTTGCAAGTTCTGTGTGCTAGCTGTTGAAGGAATTCAAGTTACGTAGGGAAAGAGAAGTGCAGGGAGGGAAACCGAGTGTCCTGCACACACGCGCGGTACGACTGCCCTGAAAATCAGCACGTCTTCTCCCTCTCGGAGATACTTTGATAGTTTTACTCAGCGCTCCCAGACTTTGCCACCAGCCTCCCACCGACCTGAGCTTACGCTGTACGAGCGTGTGTGAAGCAGAGCTGACGTAACGGCTCACCTGGTGTAATGGACCGTGGCAGGAGGTTTGCAGCGGTGCAGTTCGCTGATACTTTCAATCCAGTTGTCAATGGCTTTGGGGTTCTTTTCTGCATTCTCCAAACTCTTCACTTTTATCTGCTGCTAAAAACAGAAACATAAACCTGGAAGCACTTCGTGGTGTTTTGGGGCTTTTTTTGCAAACCCTGTGTTCACTCCCGATTAACCATGCGTTTTCTCTTTCCTAGTTGCACTGTACCAACTGATTTCTGCAGACAGAAGAGCAGCTGGGAAACAAAACGCGGAGTAAAACCAGGCAGCGACAACCAAAAGGAAACAAAGCTTCACCTGAGGGAAACAGATCCAAAGTCTGTACCGCGACTTGCCTGAAGCAAGGCTTAGATCCGTTGCAGTTTAAAGCTATAGATTAAAGAAAAAGGTTAGTTTTTTCTGCTTTTAAAGCCAAGTTATCAGTTGTGCTGCAACGCTACAGTCACATAGACGAAAGTAAGAGTAAAATGCGATGTTTTTGCTACAGCCAAGCGCGCAGCAAGTGCCTCCTCCCTCTCCGCGACTCACTGTGATGTTGTGCTGCTTGGAGTTCTCTGTCAGCCAAAGGGAGAGCACGGTGGGATCCGACTGCTTGGTCGACGGCTCATCCAGGACCAGCAGGCCAAGGTTATCAGGCTTGCCGTCAGGACGGGGAACCTGCAGATAAACAGAGACCCCGTTTTTTACGGGAGTCCAAAGCAGGGAAAGTTGGGGCAATTTTGTACAGAGCCTCCCTGCGGTGTAAAAATCAGACCCTAAAAGGAATCGGTAGGCACGCTCGCTTGAATATGAGTTGTTAGCACAGCGGTACCTGAAAAGGACAAGGTGATGGGCAAACGCAGCCCTCGCCCCAAATTATGTATGTGCTGTTTGAGAGGTGACTGAACCACTACTGAGTGTAGCTTCCCGGGTCTCTAGAACGTTATCTCCGACGGCGCAGGGCAAGGGTGCGCCACCGGTGGCAGGGACGGGCCGGCCTCCGCTGCCCCTCTCGCACCGATGCCACGTTCCGTCTCGGCTCATGCGGCAGGAGGTAGAGAGGAACCTGGAGCAATTGTACCTTTAGGAAGGCGTCAATGTCTCCAACTGCAGGAATAAAGTCTGGAATAAAAGGCTGCAGTTTGTGCTCGATCTCTATTGTTTTGGGAGTGTACCTGGAAAAACACAACACCACTGCGTGGGTGACTATGAACTGTCCTGCAAAACTTGCCACAACAATTGGCACAAAGGAGAGCCAAGAGCGGGCTAAAACCCCTTCAACTCACCTCTTGATGTACTCAAAGAGCTCTTTGATTTCAGAAGATACTGGCAGGTAGTCATAATCTGCTAGACTGAAGTCACTAAAGAAAGGAAGAGAAACGCGGGCAAAGATTAACTCGCGGTAGGTTCTGTACAAGCAGGAACTGGGACCGAACTGTGGAAGGCAATCATGAAGGAAGCTGAAACACGAGGTAGTAAGTCCTCTCTTAAAAAGCCTTCTTGCACGCCAACACCACTATTGGGCCATGTTTTGCCTTGGGCCTCCTAGCCAAAAAAAGCCCTTCGGTGACGGACAGTTGCTTGTGATCATAGAGACTTGTGCAGGGGATGGCAAAAGGTGGATAAGTGATCTGCACGAAGGCAGCTGTTAGGACAACTAGGGGGTTTAGCAATGGTTTTGGAGTTGAAAACAGTGGAAAAGGAGGAGGATTATCAGGAGACAAACGATGTGTTCTAGATGTTCCTTCTCTTTCTCGGGCATCTACTGCCAGCCAGGGCTGAAGCTGAGACAGGAGGCTGGCTGACACCTTCAGTCGCTCCCGGCTGTGCCTTTCGTTGGTACAGCAAAGCAGGGCACGGGGATTGTCCGAGGAGCCACCCTGGGTGGCTGCAGTTCGTTGCA